CCTCTTGAATATTATATTAATAACCTTAAATGAAGCTCTAGCTATTTGTATTTCTGTTTCTAACTCTTTTTGTATATTGGACAGCTTACCGTCACGTTCCTGATTTTTAATGTTTGTGTTTATAAGGGCGCCTACAAACCCATCCGTTTACAGTCTGCTTTATTGTCCAACGAAACTGTTTGAAACCAGTCCCGGGTTCGGACCAGTCAAGGGTTCGGACCAGTCAAGGGTTCGGACCAGTCGATCTGCTCTGATCAGTGGGTCACTTATTTAAAACATACTGGTCGGTGATTTGAGCTAACACATGAAGGATCTACTGGAAATTATCTACCCGAGTAATATGTGATTTGACTGATACAAAAGTATAACTTGCGTGTTGAAGAGCCGGTGATATCTGGCAGCTCCTACAGGAGTCTTATATTGTATCATATTTTGTCTCTATTACATTATGATCAAAGGCATTATATAATATTTTCCTGTGTAAAACTCTTTTAAAATAAATCATTTGAATTTCGTTGTGTGTACAAGTTGTGCAACTTTACTAACAAGTTGTGTATTATTAACAAGTTTTGTAAGTTTATTAACAAGTTGTGTAAGTTTATTGTGTAAGTATATTAATAAGTATATTAACAAGTTGTGTAAGTTTGTTCACACGTATAAGTCTATAAGTCTATTAGCAAGTTGTAAGGCGGGCTGAGGGTCTTGGCCGTCTAGGCCGGGAGGGCGTTCTTGGCCGGCCAGGTGAGCGGGCTTGGCCGGGTGGTTGAGTGATGTAGGGCGGGCTCGGCCGGGTGGTTGGACTGACTTGGCCGGGTGGTTGGGCGGACTTGGCCTGGTGGTTTTGCGGTTTAGGGCGGGCTTGGCCGAGTGGTTGGACGGTCTAGGGCGGACTAGGCCTGATGGTTGGGCGGGTTTGGCCGGGTGGTCGGACGGTGTAGGGCGGACTTGGCCTGGTGGTTTTGCGATTTAGGGCGGGCTTGGCCGAGTGGTTGAACGGTCTAGGGCGGACTAGGCCTGATGATTGGGCGGGTTTGGCCGGGTGGTCGGACGGTGTAGGGCGGACTTGGCCTGGTGGTTTTGCGGTTTAGGGCGGGCTTGGCCGAGTGGCTGGACGGTCTAGGCCTGGTGGTTGGGCGGGTTTGGCCGGGTGGTCGGACGGTGTAGGGCGGACTTGGCCTGGTGGTTGGGCGGGCTTGGCCGGGTGGAAGGGCGGGCTTGGCCAGGTAGTTGGGCGGACTGGGCCGGGTGGAAGGGTCACCTGGCGGCCAGCCTCGGCACTAAGGGTGATACAGTAAACAAGACAGGTTGGTGGTTGTTGTTGTGTAAGTGAACTGTACCTAGCGAGTTCTGCCTCAACCTTCGTCGGTATGGACGTCTCTCTTTCGCCTGAGTATCACTGATAAATTTCCCCCGTTCTCTCTGGGATACTTGTCCTCATGTATTTTGGCCGCGGGACACACTACAGGAGGGGCACCTGGTCATCGACTTACTTATAGCCAGCTCCATTTTTTCCGCTCTGCGGATAATTCTTCAACGGTGGTTATGGGAGGCCGGTTACTGTACTCAGGTGGGGGTGTGGGCGTCCTGCTCTGTTGGAGCGGCAAGGACGTCCACTGGATCTAATTGCAAACTTCAAGTTTTTATCTCTATTTACAAAGGAACTTTTTGTTCCTTTTTCTCTAGTGTTCCAGCTTTGAGGAACAAATCTTCCAGGTGCCATCCAGAAGTCGAGCTCGATACAGCTTACTGTGTCAGTGGCCCTGAGAAACCCAACAAAGAAAGAACTACCTAGCATCAAGAAGTGTTCATGGTGTACACTGTACCTAGCATCAAGCAGTGTTCATGGTGTACACTGCACCTAGCATCAAGAAGTGTTCATGGTGTACACTGCACCTAGCATCAAGAAGTGTTCACGGTGTACACTGTACCTAGCATCAAGAAGTGTTCACGGTGTACACTGTACCTAGCATCAAGAAGTGTTCACGGTGTACACTGTACCTAGCATCAAGAAGTGTTCACGGTGTACACTGTACCTAGCATCAAGAAGTGTTCACGGTGTACACTGTACCTATCATCAAGAAGTGTTCACGGTGTACACTGCACCTAGCATCAAGAAGTGTTCATGGTGTACACTGTACCTAGCATCAAGAAGTGTTCACGGTGTACACTGCACCTAGCATCAAGAAGTGTTCATGGTGTACACTGTACCTAGCATCAAGAAGTGTTCATGGTGTACACTGTACCTAGCATCAAGAAGTGTTCATGGTGTACACTGTACCTAGCATCAAGAAGTGTTCACGGTGTACACTGTACCTATCATCAAGAAGTGTTCATGGTGTACACTGTACCTAGCATCAAGAAGTGTTCATGGTGTACACTGTACCTAGCATCAAGAAGTGTTCACGGTGTACACTGAACCTAGCATCAAGAAGTGTTCACGGTGTACACTGTACCTAGCATCAAGAAGTGTTCATGGTGTACACTGTACCTAGCATCAAGAAGTGTTCACGGTGTACACTGCACCTAGCATCAAGAATTGTTCACGGTGTACACTGTACCTATCATCAAGAAGTGTTCATGGTGTACACTGTACCTAGCATCAAGAAGTGTTCACGGTGTACACTGCACCTAGCATCAAGAAGTGTTCACAGTGTACACTGCACCTAGCATCAAGAAGTGTTCACGGTGTACACTGCACCTAGCATCAAGAAGTGTTCTCGGTGTACACTGTACCTATCATCAAGAAGTGTTCACGGTGTACACTGTACCTATCATCAAGAAGTGTTCATGGTGTACACTGCACCTAGCATCAAGAAGTGTTCACAGTGTACACTGCACCTAGCATCAAGAAGTGTTCATGGTGTACACTGCACCTAGCATCAAGAAGTGTTCACGGTGTACACTGCACCTAGCATCAAGAAGTGTTCATGGTGTACACTGTACCTAGCATCAAGAAGTGTTCACGGTGTACACTGTACCTATCATCAAGAAGTGTTCACGGTGTACACTGTACCTAGCATCAAGAAGTGTTCACGGTGTACACTGCACCTAGCATCAAGAAGTGTTCACGGTGTACACTGCACCTAGCATCAAGAAGTGTTCACAGTGTACACTACCTATCATCAAGAAATGTTCACGGTGTACACTGCACCTAGCATCAAGAAGTGTTCACGGTGTACACTGTACCTAGCATCAAGCAGTGTTCACGGTGTACACTGTACCTAGCATCAAGAAGTGTTCATGGTGTACACTACCTAGCATCAAGAAGTGTTCACGGTGTACACTGTACCTAGCATCAAGAAGTGTTCACGGTGTACACTACCTAGCATCAATAAGTGTTCACAGTGTACACTGTACAGTGTGTATACTGTACCTAGCATCAAGAAGTGTTCATGGTGTGTACACTACCTAGCATCAAGAAGTGTTCACGGTGTACACTGTACCTAGCATCAAGAAGTGTTCACAGTGTACACTGTACCTAGCATCAAGAAGTGTTCATGGTATACACTGCACCTAGTGTCAAGAAGTGTTCACGGTGTACACTGCACCTAGCATCAAGAAGTGTTCACGGTGTGTACACTGCACCTAGCATCAAGAAGTGTTCACGGTGTGTACACTGTACCTAGCATCAAGAAGTGTTCATGGTGTACACTGCACCTAGCATCAAGAAGTGTTCATGGTGTGTACACTGTACCTAGCATCAAGAAGTGTTCACAGTGTACACTGGACCTAGCATCAAGAAGTGTTCACGGTGTGTACACTGCACCTAGCATCAAGAAGTGTTCACGGTGTGTACACTGCACCTAGCATCAAGTGTTCATGGTGTACACTGCACCTAGCATCAAGTGTTCATGGTGTACACTGCACCTAGCATCAAGTGTTCATGGTGTACACTGCACCTAGCATCAAGTGTTCATGGTGTACACTGCACCTAGCATCAAGTGTTCATGGTGTACACTGCATCTAGCATCAAGAAGTGATCACAGTGTACACTGTACCTAGCATCAAGAAGTGTTCATGGTGTACACTGCACCTAGCATCAAGAAGTGATCACAGTGTACACTGCACCTAGCATCAAGAAGTGTTCACGGTGTACACTGCACCTAGCATCAAGAAGTGTTCACAGTGTACACTGCACCTAGCATCAAGAAGTGTTCATGGTGTGCACTGCACCTAGCATCAAGAAGTGTTCACGGTGTGTACTGCACCTAGCATCAAGAAGTGTTCACAGTGTACACTGCACCTAGCATCAAGAAGTGTTTATTGTGTGTACACTGCACCTAGCATCAAAAAGTGTTCACGGTATGTACTCTGCACCTAGCACCAAGAAGTGTTCATGGTGTGTACACTGCACGTGGCATCAAGAAGTGTTCACAGTGTGTACACTGCACCTAGCATCAAGAAGTGTTCACAGACTGTACACAGCACCTGTTATCAAGAAGTGTTCACTAAGTCTGTACATTGCACCTGCCAAGAAGTGTTCATGGAGTGTACACTGCACTACTCATTAAGAAGTGTTCACTAGGTCTGTACACAGCACCTCTCAAGAAGTGTTCATGGACTGTACACTGCACCTGTCATCAAGAAGTATTCACTAGGACTGTACACTGCACCTGTCATCAGGAAGTGGTCACTTGGACTGTACACTGCACCTGTCATCAGGAAGTGGTCACTTGGACTGTACACTGCACCTGTTATCAGGAAGTGGTCACTTGGACTGTACACTGCACATGTCATCAAGAAGTATTCGCTAGGACTGTACACTGCACCTGTCATCAGGAAGTGGTCACTTGGACTGTACACTGCACCTGTTATCAGGAAGTGGTCACTTGGACTGTACACTGCACCTGTCATCAAGAAGTATTCGCTAGGACTGTACACTGCACCTGTCATCAGGAAGTGGTCATTGGACTGTACACTGCACCTGTTATCAGGAAGTGGTCACTTGGACTGTACACTGCACCTGTCATCAAGAAGTATTCGCTAGGACTGTACTCTGCACCTGTCATCAGGAAGTGGTCACTTGGACTGTACACTGCACCTGTCATCAGGAAGTGGTCACTTGGACTGTACACTGCACCTGTCATCAAGAAGTGTTCACTCATACCTGGGCACTGCACCAGCAGGTCAGGGAGCACCAGCTCTCCTAGCAGGTAATTCATCTGTGATCCTCGCTGAGAGTTACTTGCAGGTCAGCAGGTAGAGGGAGGCAGGTACTTGCCAGGTACTTGACAGGAACTTGACAGGTACTTGGCAGGTACTTGGCAAGTACTCGGCAGCACGTTTCACGTCACGGCTGAGAGAATTCAGGTTGAAACAGAGGCAAGGTAATATGTATGTGCAGGTCTACTAACACCTGCTGCCTCTGGTACCTAACACCTGCTGTTGCTGCCACCTGACTAATACCTGCTGCCTCTGCCACTGACTAACACCTGCTGCCTCTGCCACCTGACTAACACCTGCTGCCTCTGCCACCTGACTAACACCTGCTGTCTGCTACCTGACTGACATCTGCTGCCTCTGCTGCCTGACTGACACCTGATGCCTCTGCTACCTGTCATTATGTAGTCCTAGTAATAAATGTACTGTGATGGTTGGCATCCTGGGGGAGAGCCTCAGTGTACCACAGTGGAAGTACTAAGTCACTTCTGGGCATTTCTATATTAGCTGGTATTAGACCTTCAGAGGAAAAATAAAATGGAAAATTAAATAAAAAGTAAAATGGAGTAAATTTAGAGTATTAGTGTAGGTTAAGTTTTGCCCAGAGATGCTCTGTTCTGTGAGCTGTCAGATCATTTTATGTAATGTGCAGTATTAATGGTATGTAGATTAGTATATTTGCATTTTTATTGACCAACATTTGTAACAACCACTACAAATGTTTAACTAATTGTTTTCAAAAAATTTCACCAAATTGTTTTTCAAACAATATCCAACAAATTGTTAAAAAAAAAATTCAGCAAATTGGTTTGTAAAACTTTCAACAAATTGTTTTACAAAAAATTCCAGTTGTGGTTATAAATACAGCCACTTCTCACTTAGCGACGTAATCGTTTACTGACGCCTTGGACTTACGATGGGCTCTTTGACCAGTATTTATACCTAAATAATATATATTAGAGCTGATTTCCTCTATTCTGTTTATTTCAATATACAATACTACAATACACTACTGTAAAAACATTTAAAAATATACCAGAAATGTTATAAATGGTGCAAAGGTGACATTAAAACAATATCAAAGATGGCTGACACAAACACACTACCATTATAGTATGCTCCTTACTTGGCGACGAATTTGTTTAACGACATGGTCTTAGGAACGGAACTCCGTCGTTAACCCTTCGAGGGTCAAGAGGCCCTCTCCCAAACTCATTCTCAGGGTCAAAAAAATTAAAAAAAAAATTATTTTATGAAATTGCTATAGAGAATCTTTTTCTGATCATAATGACACCAAAAGTACGAAATTTGATGGAAAACTTACGGAATTATGCCCTCACAAAGTTAGGGGTCTCAGAGTGGGCGATTTCACCCACTTGGAGCCCTATTTTCGGCCAGTTCCAATGTTGCAGTTGACTAAAATCATAGATATTTCCCTAGACCTCTATTTGTTCTATCGATTGAGTACAAGAATCTGCCCATTTACTGATTTCAACTACCCAATAATGTGGTCAGAAATTGGCAATTTGGGCAATTTCACACAAATTTCAAAAGATGCCAATTTCGAAATGGGGTCCAAAATGAACAAGACACATTCATGGCACTAAAATAACATTTTATCTGTTCATTAGTCACGTCTCTAGGCCCCTCTTACATTACTTTTGCTTTCCATTTTGAATTTTTATTCTCACAGAAAATAGAAGGTTTTGTTATGTATACTAGTGCATCATTGTAAAAATAGTATAAATGATATCAGCGCACTTGTGAAAGAATGTTAGACTCACCAGTTGACGTGTATTGGACGCGTGGCTTGATTTGATTACTCTTGAACATCTGCAAAAATCGATCATTTCCGCTATTTTGAGCTCAATTTCAAGGTACTTGTCATCGTGAAACCAATCAAAATCATCTATAATTCTGTAATATATCTTCCAATCTGTTAAATGAGACCAAGGAAACGAGAATACAACCATAAATACCATATGAAAATACACTAGAAAGTTGCTGTTTTAACCCCTTGACTGTCGCAACCCCAAATCTTGAGGTGTCTCCTGGTGCCGCAAAATTTCCAAAAACAAAAAAGTATTTTTCTTATTAAATGATAGAGAATCTTTTAACGATTGTAATGACACCAAAAGAACGAAATTTGATGGAAAACTGGCGGAATTATGCTCTCGCGAAATTAGGGACCTCGGCGATACTTACGAATCGGCGATTTCGCCCACTTTGATCCCTATTTTCGGCTAATTCCATTGTTCCAGTCGACCAAACTCATAGCTATTTATTTAGAACTCCATTTGTTCTATTGATTGAGTACAAGAAACTGCCCATTTACTGATTTCAACTACCCAATAACATGGTCAGAAATTTGCAATTTGGCCAATTTCACGAAAATTAAAAAATATGAGTTTCAAAACAGGTTCCAGAATGGACAATGCAGACATTCCTGACTCTAAAATAACACTTGCTTTGTTCATCAGTCACATCTCCAGGCCCCTCTGATATTACTCTTGCTTTCTGTTTTGAATTTTTATTCAAACAAAAAATAGAATGTTTACTGTTATGCAGACTACTGCAATATTGTAATAATTGTATATATAATGTCTTCCCATTCATAACTGCATATTAGAATGGCTACTTGGACATTTATTGGAATATGACACCATTTGTTTACTTTTGAACATCGTCAAAAATCAAACATTTCCCCTACTTTGAGCTCCATTTCAAGGTTCTTTTCATAGTCAAACCAATCAAAATCACCTCTGTTTCTATAATATGTTTTTCATTCTATCAACTGAGACCAAGAAAACGAGAATACAACCATAAATACTATACAAAAATAGGCCACAAAGTTGGCATTTTAATTAAAAAAACGGTCAGAGTTATTTTTTCTCATTATGCACTGCGTGCTGCAGGATTTTTTTATATGGTGCACTGACCACACAGACCCATTCTCTCACATGTGGGCCATCCAGCTTTCTCCTGCTTGATTTGAAGCCGCTAGAATTTATGAGTATATATATATGTCAAAAACAGTGGCTCGTAAGACGTATATATGCGACCAAAACAGTCAGAGGGTTAAACCAAAAACACAAAGTTTTTTTTTCTCATTATGCACAGTGTGCTTTAGGATTTTTTTATACTGTACATGCTGACCACACAGACCCATTCTTTCATATGTAGGCCTGCCAGCTTTCTTCCACCAGATTTGAAGGCGTTAGAATTTAGGCGTACAAGTACGTGACTGACCCTGGCTGCAATGACGTACTTGTATGTGATCGACTCTCAAAGGGTTAAGTGAGGAGAGGCTGTAGTTAAAAGTTTATTTTAACCCTTTCAGGGTTTCGGCCGTACTAGTATGGCTTACGCCCCAGGGTTTTTGACGTACTAGTGCGCCTGAATTCTAGCGCCCTCAAATCTAGTGAGAGAAAGCTGGTAGGCCTACATATGAAAGAATGGGTTTATGTGGTCAGTGTGTGCAGTATAAAAAAAATACTGCAGCACACAGTGTGTAATGAGAAAAAAACTGACTGTGTTTTTGGATTAAAACAGCGACTTTGCGATGTATTTTCGTATGGTATTTATTGTTGTATTCTAGTTTTCCTGGTCTCATTTTATAGAATGGAAGACATATTACAGAAATTGAGATGATTTTGACTGGTTTTACAATGAAAAGTACCTTGAAATTGAGCTCAAAGTAGCAGAAATGTTCGATTTTTACCAAAGTTCAAAAGTAAACAAATCATGCCAAGCGTCCAATATACGTCAACTGGTGAATCTAATATTCTTTCACAAGTGTGATGATATTATTTATTCCATTTCTACACTAATGCAGTAGTCTGCATAACAGTAAATCTTCTATTTTTTGTAAGAATAAAAATTCAAAGTGGAAAGCCAAAGAAATATAAGAGGGGCCTGGGATGTGACTAACGAACAGAGAACTTGTTATTTTAGTGCCAGGAATGTCTTTCTAGTTTATTCTGGACCCTATTTGGAAATTGGCATCTTTTGAAATTTGTGTGAAATTGGCAAAATTGCTAAATTCTGACCACTTTATTGGATAGTTGAAATCGGTAAATGGGTGGTTTCTTGTACTCATTCGATAGACAAAATGGAGTTCTAGCGAAATAGTTATGATATTTGTCGACTAGTACACTGAAACTGGCCGAAAATACGGCTCAAAGTGGGCAAAATTGCTGATGCTTAAACATCGTCGAGACTGCTAACTTCGCGAGAGCATAATTCCGTAAGTTTTCCATCAAATTTCATACTTTTGGTGTCATTATGATCGGGAAAAGATTCTCTATCTTTTCATAAAAAATAATTTTTTTTTTAAATTTGGGGGACCCTGAGAACAAGTCTCTGAGAGGGCCTGTGGACCCTGAAAGGGTTAAAGCAGCCCAAAATTCTCTGCATATGCAGGGACTTTGATAAGTTTATTTAGGCACAGGTGCACACAAGTATAATTATCATATGCAGTGTAAATTACCTAGGATAACCCCAAAAAGTCAGGTGCACATACGTACAGTATGTCAGTGTCAAACCTGAATCTGTTGTAAATTGTACTGTGTAGAAATAAAGTTTATCATTTATAGAGAATTATTAACTACAGATGGTTAATAACCCACTGGGGTTAATACTCTTCTAAGGTTTGTATTAATGTTGGTAGAATTGCCAACAGTATGTTAGGTAAAAGGAGACAAGTGCAACTAATGTGACATTTTATTGTGGCAACGTTTTGCTCTCCAGGAGCTTTATCAAGCCGTTAATACTCCTCTAGGGTTAATACTACTCTAGGGTTCATAACCAGTCAAGGGTTAATATTCCTCTAGGGCTCATAATCCCTTAAGGGTTAACCCATTAATGTCAGTAACTTGAACAAAATCTAGTTCAAAGATAAAATCAGCTTTATTCATCTTCACTAAATAAGGCTTTACAGACTATTTCACCCTACAAGACTTGGTAGCATCCTCAGCTCACACATTGGGTCCAG